ATAACAGAGGGTTGTTTATCACTTGGATGCATGTCCTGAGAATCCAGATGAAAAGCAGACTGCCAGGGAAGATTTCAATGCCTTTACAGTCACTTCTCCTGCTGGTGAAGTTGTGCTCATCAAACCCTTGGACTATGAAACCAAGGAAAATTACTGTTACATTGCAACAGCAAGTGATGGAAGACAGGTTAGTTTCAGTGCGTTTCAGATTTTAATTCTGGAAAATTTATTTATGAATTGATGGGTTGTTGAGGGCTATATTTGGTACAACAACACTTTGTATCTGTAATAAAATAAATTAGGACACCCACATTAATAAAGTCAGACCAATTCAAATTGAACTTCTTTAAGTAAAAACCTTTGACTTGGAGAGGTTTCCTTTTCCTATTCTGATCGTAAAGTAAAACCTTATGAAGGTTAATTATTATTTGTCATATATAAGCAGCTCTTCTCTTAATATAATCAGATCATTTCAGTTATTTAACTGTGTTATCCAAGTTATTCTCAAGTTTATTCCTGCAAGTCAAGCTTGTTGAGTTGTTTATTTGTTTGTACTTGTGTGAAATACAGTTTATCCCTTTGATGTAGGAATTCCAAAATGGAATCGCGGTCCTGTCCCGGACTGATCAGCTTGTTTTATTATTTATCAATTAAATACTCAACATCAAATTATATTGAGGCCTTTTGTGCCCAATAAGGTTCAAGCTTAGGGAGGGGGGGGGGGTTGGATTATGGGAAGTGGGAAACAATTTTTGAGCCTATTTAATGCTAACAAGGGGCAAATAAAGCTTGCTTATATATCTATCTACAAGGGTTGGTTCATAAGTTTTGAGACTTTTTGAGGTAAAGTGAGACCCCAAGATGTGGACATAATTGGTGAATCAAGAGTGTCCTGAAGTTGGATTGTCCCTAGGTTGAGTCTCATTTTCCAATAGACTTCAATGCTAATGTATTTAATTGATTCTCATCTTTAAAAATTTTTTAAATAAGTCCTCATAGCATTTAATAAACATTGTTTTCCTCAACTTAAAATTGTAGAAAACAACAATGCAGAACAAAACCACATAGAATCTCATCTTTTGGTATCAAAAGGAGATTGAAAAGCAAAGAAAAAATATAAGTCTTGCAAAAATATGCACAAATGGTAGAAAAAAACTCTGAAAAAAGGAGCACAAAGTCAGCTTGCTTTTGATCATGAATTAGAGTGAATTTATTGTGAAATCTTTTTTTTCAATTTTTGTGAATATAAAATAGCTTTCGATTGGTTCAAGATAAATCAAAATTAAGAAAAATGCTTGGATTTCTTTGGAAAATTTCAGAAAAGTGTCCCTACCTTGAGCCAATGTCTGGATGTTAGGCCTGATTTTGTTTTGTTTTCAAGAGTCCCTAAGTCGAAGTGTCCATATGTTGAGGTGTCCGGATATTGGGGTCTCACTGTAGTTCCAGAAAAACGAGTTTCAGCAGTCCCAGAATTCCATTTTAAGGACTGTTTTGATCCTTGGATTTATCCCATGAAAAAAAAAAATATGCGTTGAACTCTGCTGAACGTATGTTGAACTGCACTCAAGTGTTACCAAATGAATGGGCTATGCGTGTGAAATTATTATTTTTTGCATTGTTGAAAGTGCGTTGAATCTATTTTCAAAAAGTCTCAAAACGTTTGAACCAACCTAGGTATCTATCCATAAACCTCCCTCTAACTAGTTTTAATTTTTTTTTATAATTGTTGAAACTACATTGAATCTATTTTTAAAAAGTCTCAAAACGTATGAGCCACCCTTGGTATCTATCCATCAACCTCCTTCTTACTTGTCTTGTAGCAGTAGAGAAAAGCTGGATTCTTTTTTTTTTTTTTTTTTTTTTTT